TAGTTCTTATCAAGGGAGTTAAATCTATCGGCAAGGTGAGTCAATATTTTACAGTGCACAATAATTGTGTCTTCATTATGTTTTTGTGAAGATGTCACTTTACTGAATGTTCGTTTGCAAACGACTGTTTCGATAATTTTCTATATGAATTCACCTAAACTCTCCAAGTTCTGAAGTGAACATGTTTTACTTTGGGTATGTTCTGTGGATTCACTGTCAAAAGTTCCATGGGAATTCAATTTCAACCGTTGCACGGGAATTCACCCTTTTAAAACTAATTTAGTTTGAACAAATAGATATTATATAGCATATTTTGAAAATATTTTCAGCTATAATTTACCACGTTTTTGATAATGAAAATTTGTCATACTGCCTCTTTAAAATAAGTTCCGTTACTGCACTAAAAAGGATGGACATTTACAATTTAATGAAAAGTTCTATATTACATTTAGTCTACAATGCTGTTAAAATTCTATTACAACAGTCTTGAATATTATTTTCGGCTGCAGAAAGTTCCATAAAATATATTCGACATTAAGTTTGGTCAGAGCATTATTTTGTACTATATAGCTATGATCAGAGTTATATTGATTATAATACTGTTGGTAAGCAGTGGTGTTTCTTAAAAGGAAGGGGGAATGCTGGCCACTTCCAAATATTTTATCGTTTTACATATTGAAACATGAAGTTTTGTGGCCCTTGCACGTCTCCCCCCCACCTAATGTTTCCTAAGAACGCTACTATGATCAGAGTTATTTGGTGTTCAAATGTTTCACCAAAATGTTGTTTTGGATTTCGGGTTTTATTTTGCGGTTCGGATCGTTAGTACTTGGTTTATTTATTTGTTATAGCGTTAATATTGGTAAGGGAGTGTGGTATTTTGATTGTTTCAGGCAGTGTATGTGTTTACCATTCTACCCTACATTCTACTGACAGTATTATTGATAAGGGGGGTAACTCTTACCGGATATCAAGACGGTATCGCCTATTACCTTAATCCTAAAGTAGAACTGCTGGCCGAGCCTTCGGTAAGTGTTACACAATGATTAACTCATAAATCCAATATGAGTATGAGTGAATATCCACAATTACCAGTTTATCTTGCTTACAGGGTTGAGATATTAAGCACCGATTCCCGCTGAAGCCCCGCGTGCTACAGTCAGTCAGTGTGCGTTGGAAATTGAAATTTAGTAGTTATTATCCCTGTGCAAGCAACATTGTCCCCATTGCTCACAACGTTAGAGTGTACATTGGCCCAAAGTGAAGCACATACATAGGTCGTAAACATCCGTCGTATTTCAATACATGAATATAAAAAGACCGATACACCAAAAACTGCCAAAATAGCTATCAGAGACTGGATAAGCTGCAGATGTTTCGGACTAAAATATAAACAGCAAAACTCTTTCTACCATTTCATGAGCAGATGATATCATCATAAGAACGTCGGGGTCAAAAAGCAAATCAATTCGATTTTTTTACAGACATGGTCGGACGCAGCCGTTCAGATTTTCTACTCCACTAGTACAAGTAGTGGAGCGTTGATAGCTATGTCTAGTTTTAATAGTTTAAAAATAATACATT